TAAATGAATGCATGCATGCAAATGCAGACAATAGAACACAATGAAATGTCAGCTTATGCTTCCCTTTCTACCACCAAAGGCCAAGGTATGACTTTGTTGCTGTACTTGAAGGGTTGGTCCACTCACAATGGAAATGACTGTGCTTGACAGATGCTCTTAGGGAATGATCTTTCTTGTTTCCAGTGGTGAGATTCTTTTCAAAGTTTCAAAGCTTACCCTTCACCTTGGAGCTTCTTTCCTTCTGAGGTGGCAAGTAAAGTCTCTTTCCTGTGTAGAATAAAGCAACACAGAGACTGATACAGCACATGTAAATACAATATATCGTATACCTAGATACAGACCATGTACAACTTGTTCTCCTTGGAAAAAATGGAAGTCTAACTTTATTATGTCAATAAAAGAGCTGAGGCAAACACCCAAAATCTCACACTTTCAGGTGCATTTGTTCACAAACTGACTTAAATTTGAAATCCAGAAAGATATAAAAGACACAAATTAATGTACCTTTTATTTAATAATACATAAATAAATCTATTCTTGTAAATGCAATCCTCTTGATATCCCTTTACAGCAGAGCTCAGACTGGGGGGAGAGAGAAGCAGAACAAAGAACGAATCAATTGTGCTGCAGTGCAAGGAGCATATTGATAGGTGGTGGGGAGGAGACCTGCAAATTAGTTAATTACCACAGAGATAAAATCAGGTCTCCTCCTCTGCCAGAAAGGATATGTGCTGAGTCTCAGAGCTATATAAATCATTGAACTGGATAGATAGAATTGCAAATCCATTGGCAGTTAAAACAGCTCTCTCATATATATTCAATAGGTATATACGTATAGCTGCCTGGAGTTCAAATGTAAAATCCATCAAACTGAATGAGACAACAGAGACAGGAAAGAAGATGTGAAGTCAAGTACACAGATCTTACCAGCAGAGTCCCAGAGAAGTAAAAGATAATGGCTTTCAACTCAACAGCATCTGCTATAAGTGGGTGGGTGCAGCGTGGTTCGGCAGTAGTAAACACACAATGCAGTAGATTTAATAGAACTGGAGAGTGCAGAATCTGGTGCAGCTGTGCATGGTAGTCAATCAGCTTCTAACTCCAGCTTATTCAATTAAGCTTTGACAATAGAACCTGGAAGCTGATTGGTTTCTATGCAGAGCTGCACCAAATTGGACCCCCACAGAGTCCAATGCATATAACAGAACTTGTATTGAAGTCACGGCCCAAAAATACAAACTGCACAGCTGGGAAGCACCCAACTGGGAATACTCACAGTTCAGAAGTCTAATGCACAGTGGAGCAGGTCCATTGTCTCGACAGCGTCTGTCTCTGAGGGTGGAATATGGCCTGGGCAGTCTGTGCCCAATTGGGAGGATTCCTGGAAAATATAGAGTGTCCCTCTTCTGTCTCTCCTCATCTGGAACCTTTCCCTACTTCTATTCACTTTTTTAACAGATGAGTAACCTGTCGCTGCACTGTCCACTCTGAAAACATATGCTAAACCCGAGAGCCAGGGTCTTAAATAGATCTTGAGAATGCCCTATGGGAGGGGCGAAACGCGTTGACGCACTTCCGGTCTGCCGTCCATATGTCCTACATCACTTCCGGTGAGTGGAGCGCATGCTGAGTGCTGCGTTCCAAGCGGCCATCTTTGTTGTTGGAGCTGTGTTTTCGTTATCCTCTGCAAACCAACAGGCTGTGAGGTCTCTGGATTGGAGTGTGGTCATATGGATTTTGTGATAGCCTAATGGAGGCAATTAAACCAATGCTTTTTATCATTCTTTAACATGTGAGTGGCCTGGTATTATTTTATAATATTACACATGGTATTAGCAATATCACACTATGGTATATTTTTTTCTCTCTTGCACCGCTGTGGAGTTCATATGCGGAGTGAGTGGAATCACCAAGCCTTGCAAAATGGATAAGGAGTTCTGGAGGATATAGAGGGGGTCTAGGATCCCTTAAATTCTAAAAGGCACAAAACTCACCAACATCTGGTGAGTGCGGTTGATTTTGATTTCACACTACTGGGTGGTGGAAGCACTTTTATTTGGGAGAAGATATTTATATAAAAATTCTTTTTGGGATGAAAGGACTTTTGTAAAAATATTTTTTGTGGATGCAAGTAATTTAAATATTTTTTTGGACACTATATCAAAGTAGTTATTTCACAATATTTATAATTGATTTATAATATCATATATTGAATGAGAAAGTTTTTTGATTTGCGCTGTTTATATATTATTTTTCTTAAATAGACTCTGCCTGACCCAAGATGGCCAACAGAGTCACATGGGCCAGCAGCATCCAACTGGATCGCTTCTCCAGTGAACTGTAGAGGAAGAGGTCCCTCCTGACTTACTCTCCTCCTGCAATGCCACTGTAGTTGAGAGCCATCTGCAGTGGAGAAAGGAGACTGCATCTGCCTACATTGCAAATCACTGAAGTCACTTTGGGTGGATCCCTTGAAGCATCAGCTTATCTTTTTTTCCTACCAAAATATATAAGGGAGTAAAGTTAAATAATAAACCTGGTATTTCATTATCCCTGAGGTATATCTTTAGTCCAGAAAATAAACTAACATTTAGCTTACTTCTATTGGGGAACTGTTGCTTCACCAGTCGCCATGAGCATGACCTTCCTATGAACATGACAAGTGATTACAGTGTGGGCCAAGAACCCCATGCAGCTGGGCTGTATATCACTCTGCCGCTTTGTTATAAGTTGACTGTAGCTCAGTACATTAACAGCAACAGAGACTGAGTCAGTAGTAAGACATATGTAGAGGGTGTCTACAGAGGCTTGTTCACTACAGCTACAGATGAAGCGAGGCAGAAGCCTCAGGGATTCAATAAAGGCCTTACAAACATCTGCTATTGCCTACTGAGACATACATGGTTTATTTGTGCACTGCATCGAGCAGTCTGTAGAAACAGAAAAGGAAGGATGTGAGCCCTGAAATAACTTAGCGAAGTAACACTGTATGTAAATAAATGTGATGAGATAGATGATGTAACCTTGCCAAGAAGCCTTTTCTCTTTAAAACCCAATTAAAACTTGTTTTTTTTAACTTCCTGTCCTGATTCCAGCATATCACCGGGCAAAGAAGGGAGTAAAATCACACACAGACAGCAATAAAAAAAAAAGCTAGAACTTTTATTAGTTTTTGGTGTCTGTGTCTCTGTTGTAGTTTTCCCTTGCTTGTCTCTGGAACAGGAAATCAGATGAATTTTCATCAACAAAAGCCTTTGACAACAATATAAAGCTGGGAGGGGTTGTAACTTACAAAAATAGCCCAATGTAAAGAAATGTTCCATGCTTGCTATATTCATTATATCAGTTTTTTTTTGGAGTTCTCTAGAGTTCTTCTAGAGGTTGATCAGGGCTTCTTAATCAATGAGTCATTTCTGTTTCTCAGATATGCTACTACTGACACCAATGTTTTTCTCAGCTATTAATGAGGACCACTAACCACTAATGTAAGGCGCATTATTCTCACTGACCACCAGTGTATAGGGCCCTTCACTGACCCTCCACTGTAAGATGTCACTTCTCCATTGACCATCAATGTAAGGGGTCACTTCTCCATTGACATGTAGATACACAGCATTGGTTGTCAGATAGCTAATTTATTTCAAGGGTTGCTCCATGTTAACAAAGACTGCTTTATACAGACTGTTTCTGTAGTGTGTTTTTTTAAACATACTTACTATCTACTACTGTTTCTCTCAGGTGGCTGCTTGCTCCATTTTTGTACTGGCTACCATAATGAAATTATATACACTAAATTGCCAAAAGTATTGGGACATCCCTCCAAATCACTGGATGCGGGTGTTCCAATCACCTCAATGGCCACAGGTGTATAAAATCAAGCACCTAGACACACAGACGGCTTCTACAAACATTTGTGAAAGAATGGGTCGCCCCCAGGAGCTCAGTGAATTCAAGCATGGTACCGTGATAGGTTGCCACCTGTGCAATAAGTTCATCTGTGACATTTCCTTGCTACTAAATATTCCACAGTTAACTGTTAGTGGTATTATAAGAGAATGGAAGCAACTGGGAACAACAGAAACTCAGCCACGAAGTGGTAGGTAATTACACAGCTGGGTTAGTGCATGCTGAAGCGCACAGTGCACAGAATTTGCCAACTGTCTACAGAGTCAATAGCTAAAGACCTCCAAACTTCATGTGGCCTTCAGATTAGCGCAACAACAGTGCGTAGAGAGCATTATGGAATGGGTTTACATGGCCGAGCAGCTGCATCCAAGCCTTACATCACCAAGTGCAATGCAAAGCTCCAGATGCAGTGGTGTAAAGCACGTTGCCACTGGACTCTAGAGCAGTGGAGACGTGTTCTCTGGAGTGACGAATCATGCTTCTCTGTCTGGCAATCCAATGGAAGTGTCTGGGTTTGGTGGTTGCCAGGAGAACAGTACTTGCCTGACTGCATTGTGCCAAGTGTGAAGTTTGGTGGAGGGGGGATTATGGTGTAGGATTGTGTTCCAGGGGTTGGGCTTGGCCCCTTAGTTCCAGAGAAATGAACTCTTAAGGCATCAGCATACTACTTTGGACAATTTCACGCACCCAACTTTGTGGGAACAGTTTGGTTTGGGGATGGTCCCTTCCTGTTCCAACATGACTGCGCACCAGTGCACAAAGCAAGGTCCATAAAGACACGGATGAGCGAGTTTGGGGTGGAGAAACTTGACTGGCCTGCACAGACTCCTTACCTCAATCAGATAGAGTACTACTGGGATCAATTAGAGGGGAGACTGCAGGCCAGTCCTTCTTGTCTGCCATCAGTGCCTGACCTCACAAATGCACTTCTGGAAGAATGGTCAAACATTCCCAAAGACACACTCCTAAACCTTATGGACAGCCTTCCCAGAAGAGTTGAAGCTGTTATAGCTGCAAAGGGTGGGCCAACTCAATATTGAACCCTACGGACTAAGAATAGGATGCCGTTAAAGTTCATGTGCATGTAAAGGCAGGCGTCCCAATACTTTTGGCAACATAGTGTGTGTGTGTGTGTGTATGTGTATATATATATATATATATATATTTATTTATATATTTTTTTTTTTTTTTTTTTAATTAAACAAAAATATGTGACATAACAAAAAATCCTAACTCTACAACTGGATGTGTACAACCAGATATGTCTGTTGCTGTGACCTATCAATGACAAGTGATGAGGTTAGGAACCAGAAAGTTTATTAAATCACTGTTTTGTCATGAAAATGTATATCTGCTCAGTTTTGTTCTAAAGCATGATACAATAAAAGCTGACCTTCAGAATATTCCCATTATTAAAGGAAATATATTGAAAGAATAGTACATAAACAAAAATTGTCATAGTCATAAAAGTCTAAAAACATCTGGTTCTCAACACATTAGTGGCCAATGCTATCTGTATTCATGTAACATATTTAGGTTGTAGCACCTTTAGCATCTTTTCAAGTAAACAGAGCACATACACACACTTCAGGATTGATTTGGAAAATGTGCTTTGCTGAGTTATTGCTAGCACTAGCACTATTTTTTTTTTTTTTTTGTGAAGGCCTTATAAGCCCCTGTGTGCAAAGAATTGTACATACCAATCCAGTGGAAATTTTAGATTTGGCTTTCTGAATTCCCAATATATTTCTTATTTTCCTGATGAGGTGCCTGCTACAGCATACTTCAGGCTCAGTGTTGGGATGCTTTGGCATATGAAAGACTCCATTTAGTGCAGACTCATGCTCGCCAATCCTTTCTTCTCTGCCATACATACGATTGTGCCAGCTTCTAATTGTGACAGGTGCTGTTCATGGCCATATCTGAAATGGTAACAAGCTGACTGAGAACTAAGAAAAACTACATATATATTGTTTGCTGCATTTTATATGTTCTTCTGGGCCAAACTCGCTTTGAAATGTAATGTGATACCAGTTACAATTACATTGTCTTCGGAGATATGCATTCATTATTTTATTAGCCATGCTCAGGGGCATTTTCATCAGAACTTTGGGCCAACTAAGTGCAAGTACACATAGGACATTATTTGGCTGATTTACTAACGCAAAGAGGCTGTTCATTTTGCAAGGGAATCTGCACATTGCAAGGGAATTTTTCCCAGAGCTTAGTAAATGCGGTGAAATTTCACTTTGCAAAGAACACCCAATCACATGCATAGAAAATTTATAAAAAATGATTTTTGCTTGCACGTGATTGGATGTTGGAATTCAGTAGAGCTTCATCTCAATCACTAAGCTCTGGGGAAAATTACCTTGCAAAATGCAACTTCTCTCACAAAATGAACAGTCAATTTGCCTTTAGTAAATCAACCCCCTATGTATCAATGTGTTCTTACTAAGAACTGGAGTTACCAAATAGCATCAGACTTGCCCAGGGAGTCAAAACAACTCCAGGTTTTATCAAGAACACCTTGGCTTTAATGCTGCTCCTGGCATTTGCTTATACATGATCAGTTGGTCCAAGGTGTGACGGGCGTGGCGTCAGACCCCAGACCTTCTCACCAAACTCGTGACCGAAGGACTAGCCAATCTAAAACCGCAATGTCACGTGCTTAACAATGCTACACCCAGCTGCACCCTGCACAATGATTTTCCAGCTAATTGGACCACATTCGACGTACCTGCAGCCTGGGAGCGTTTGCTACTGGGTAAGGTTAATTACACAATTAACCCTTCACACTGCCACCTCTTCCTTTTTATACAGAGAAAGAGGAAACTCAGCAATATCAGCAATACACTAGATGATTGGTTAATTGTCGGTATCCCGCTATCTCTACAGACAGGTTATACAGAAGGGTTAAACACTCATAGTAGCGCTCTACAGCGGCAGGGATTCGTAAGTCACATTAAAGGGCTATAGAAACAGTTCAACACTTTCAGAAATCAAGATTTATTACTAAAAGGTCAAAAGGGTGCAGTAGAAATCTTTACAGAAAAAAGATGTAACCAATATATATATATATATATCTATATATATATATACAGTGGGGCAAAAAAGTATTTAGTCAGCCACCAATTGTGCAAGTTGTCGCACTTAAAAAGATGAAAGAGGCCTGTAATTGGCATCATAGGTAGACCTCACCTATGAGAGACAAAATGAGAAAAAAATCCAAACAATCACATTGGCTGATTTGGAAATAATTTATTTGCAAATTATGGTGGAAAATAAGTATTTGGTCAATATCAAACGTTCATCTCAATACTTTGTTATATATCCTCTGTTGGCAATGACAGAGGTCAAACGTTTCCTGTAAGTCTTCACAAGGTTGGCACACACTGTTGCTGGTATGTTGGCCCATTCCTCCATGCAGATCTCCTCTAGAGCAGTGATGTTTTGGGGCTGTCGCTGGGCAACATGAACTTTCAACTCCCTCCAAAGGTTTTCTATGGGGTTGAGATCTTTAGACTGGCTAGGCCACTCCAGGACCTTGAAATGCTTCTTACGAAGCCACTCCTTTGTTGCCTGGGCAGTATGTTTGGGATCATTGTCTTGTTGGAAGACCCAGCCACGTTTCATCTTCAATGCCCTTGCTGATGGAAGGAGGTTTGCACTCAAAATCTCACGATACATGGCCCCATTCATGCTGTCCTGTACATGGATCAGTCGTCCTGGTCCCTTTGCAGAGAAACAGCCCCAAAGCATGATGTTGCCACCCCCATGCGTCACAGTAGGTATGGTGTTCTTTGGATGCAACTCAGCATTCTCTCTCCTCCAAACATGACGAGTTGTGTTTCTACCAAACAGTTCTATTTTGGTTTCATCTGACCATATGACATTCTCCCAGTCCTCGTCTGGATCATCCAAATGCTCTCTAGCAAACTTCAGACGGGCCCGGATATGTACTGGCTTAAGCAGGGGGACACGTCTGGCACTGCAGGATCTGAGTCCCTGGCGGCGTAGTGTGTTACTGATGGTAGCCTTTGTTACGTTGGTCCCAGCTCTCTGCAGGTCATTCACTAGGTCCCCCCGTGTGGTCCTGGGATTTTTGCTCACCGTTCTTGTGATCATTTTGACCCCATGGGGTGAGATCTTATGTGGAGCCTCAGATCGAGGGAGATTATCAGTGGTCTTGTATGTCTTCCATTTTCTAATTATTGCTCCCACAGTTGATGTGTTCACACCAAGCTGCTTGACTATTGCAGATTCAGTCTTCCCAGCCTGGTGCAGGTCTACAGTTTTGTTTCTGGTGTCCTTCGACAGCTCTTTGGTCTTCACCATAGTGGAGTTTGGAGTGTGACTGTTTGAGGTTGTGGACAGGTGTCTTTTATACTGATAACAAGTTCAAACAGGTGCCACTGATACAGGTAATGAGTGCAGGACAGAGGAGCCTCTTAAAGAAGAAGGTACAGGTCTGTGAAAGCCAGAAATCTTGCTTGTTTGTAGGTGACCAAATACTTATTTTCCACCATAATTTGCAAATAAATTATTTCCAAATAAGCCAATGTGATTGTCTGGATTTTTTTTTCTCATTTTTGTCTCTCATAGTTGAGGTCTACCTATGATGCCAATTACAGGCCTCTCTCATCTTTTTAAGTGGGAGAACTTGCACAATTGGTGGCTGACTAAATACTTTTTTGCCCCACTGTGTATATATATATATATATATATATAAATATACAGAGTACAACAGCACAGCAAACAGATAACAGAAAGAAGTTTAAAGGGTTAAAGTACTTGCCAATCAGCCTTGGGTTAAGCAATTTCAAGTCTTATGAGCTCCAGGATGATTTGCTTTCTTGTCTCTACTGCTAGTTTCGTTGGGACATGGCAGGAGATTCTGCTTTCTCTCGGTCTGCTAGATGTTAAAACGCAGACGGTCCTCACTTCACTGACTACACACAAAACATAACAGCTTCTTTTCCTACAGAAAATCAACTGGTATCTTCCTACCATGGACAAGCCAATTACCTTATTTGGCAAGAGGATTGTATAGACAGCCCCTTAGCAAGGTACGCTGAACGCATTCCTGAGGGAGGGGGAATGAGGGAATAACATCAAGACTTCTTAACGCAGTGAGAGCCGTGCCTGGCTCTTGTATGCACGATTGTGACACAAGGTACTAGTGAAAATAGCTGTATGTATAGACATAATGGGGTTGATTTATTAAGGCAAATAGGCTGTGCACCCTAAGTGCACTTGGAACTGCCCTGCAAGGCAACTGAAAGTGCAGTTGCTCTAGATCTGAGTGGAACATGCAATGTAAATTAAAAAAACAGCATTTTTGCTTGCACATGATTGGATGAGAAAAATCAACAGAGCTTCCCCTCATTTCAGAGATTCCCCAATGGGGTTGATTTACTAAAGCTGAAAAGTGCAAAATTAGGCTCACATCTGCATAGAAACCAATCAGCTACTAACCTCAGCTTGTTCAATTAAGCAAGAAAACCTGGAATCTGATTGGTTTCTATGCAGAAGTCAGCCTGATTTAGCACTCTCCAACTTATATAAACCCCACTATTATCAGTATTAGAACCATATCAGCTGGACTATTTATAAAATTGCATAGGGTTGTTTTTCCTGTGGATCATTCAGTTGATTTTATGTTACATTTTATCTGACCTATTGCACTATCCTATGAAATATCATGATGACTTAACATTTTAGGTAAACCTGTGTTCAGCGGTGTTAGAGACCAAGGAACCTAGCTTTTGAGTGTTTGAGGACTTTTCAGAATGCGTTATTTCACACTACAGACAGATAGAGAGGTCAGGGATGGCTTAATTTAAAGCCATTTTACTGCTTGTTAACAACATTTAATTAGTTTAATGCCCCAGTTTTGGGGCACTTTAAAGACCTACAACTAACAAAATGGTATAAAAAAATCCAAACTGACATGTTTGTTATGTTTTCTGAAAAGAGCCAACTGTCAAAACTGTCATTTTTTTCCCCTTAGTTTAAAATATACCATGACAGGAGCTATTATGCTAAACATCAAAGGAACAGCCGCTCAGAAGTTTTTAGTGTCCAAAGAATGTTTGAGCAGAGATAGCACACTCTGTGCCAGAAAATAGGCTAATCATAGTTTAATACATATATAATCTACCCAAACAATGAGGACTTTACGAACATGAACTGTCCAAGCTGTAATACGAAATTGGCTAACAACCAAGGATCAGTTTGGGTATATTGTCTGTGTATGTGACTGGTCATCAAAAAAAAATGTACATTGAGCTTAAATCTGGACTTATTGTATAGTATGTGGAGACATACAACATTTCATCCTCTAGACACCCTTTAAATTATTAAGGCTAAGTTTACACTTGTGGAAGACCTAGCTGCCACTCACAAAAGCAATCCGTGGTGGTCTATTAAGAGGCATTTAACAGGCAGTGAGGAGGCAATTTATCACCTCTTCACTGTCTATTTTAACCCTCTCAAGCCCGCACCACCAGGCCACAACCATATGTGTGTGGTTGTAGGGCACTTGCAGCATAGTCAAATTTACTGGAATGGATTGTATTCCGCAGGGGTACTGCGTGCCAAACACGGCAGGGGTATAATTTGTTCCACTGCTGTGCATGTGTACAAGCCTGTTCAGCTGTGTATCCAGCTTAAAGTGTTACTAAACCCAGGACCCAGCATTCATTATATCTGGTCTCCCACAGTACACAGAACATGGAAATGCAATTATTTTAGTAAATATAAACTGCTAAATACCTTTTCTCATTAGCAGTTAGAGCATTCTTGTGACTTCAGCAGAGCACTGATTAAAGCTTGTAGGAGGAGTTTTCTTTCTGCTCTAGTTGGATGTGAAATCCCTCACTCTCTATCTGGACAGTGCTGATTGGCCCTGTGCTAATCACATGCACCCTCCCAAGAAAAAAATTAAAAACCTCTCCAGCAATACACACCACCAAACTGAGCATGTGCATGTGACCACAGATTCAGTCTGTATCAGGTGCTCATTTCAACAAGAGGAGGGGCAAAGAAGAAAGGATCAAACAGTCTTTTCACACAATGCAGAGGATTAACCCCTTAGGTTCTACAGTGAGTACAACAAGCATGCTTTACTGCATTTACAGACTGATTTTACTGTTGTGGGTTTAGTAACACTTTAAGGGGGGTGGTCAGGGAGCTAAAAAACATGGCTCAGCTGACTATTTTTACCACTTCCGACAAGAAGACTAAATGAGCACTTACCTGTTTTGCCTGTCCTATTAGAATACAAAATGTTGTGTTAAATTTTAGATCTCGGAGAATGAACATCCATTTCCAAAAGTTTTCTTCCCAGGTCTGCATATATATTTAATCCCTAATAAGTAACAGTTTTTATCGAAAGTGACTGATTATTCTTGACTTCCTGACATAAGCCAATTACAATCAGTAATCATGTCTCTCCGTCCTGTCATTACAGTTGATATGTGTGCCACTATGAATCTCTCTTATAAGCCCTTCTTAGCTAGCAGATTTTAACTTTGAGAATGGTATGGTTAATTCACACAGTCATGAATTATGGGACTATGTTACAGCCCAAGGTCAAACACAAATGAAGCTGAAACTGTACAGAAATCTGGTTTCTTCACAGGGAAGGTGCACACTTTTTAGCTATAAGGAGCTATTTTAGGTTGCTGAGGCTTGGCTTGTAAAACATGCCAGCAGACTTCTGCTTTGGTGACTAGCATAACAATAGGAGATCCAGCAATCAAGGCTGAGTGACATAAAGGCTCAAATGTGCTCATATATATAGTCTCACGACAGACTTCATGTGTTCCAACTGGAAACCATGGGCAGATTTTATTATGTCTTGAGAACAGAAGACAGTAACTATGAAGGTCAATGTTATTATCGATAAATGAAGTAAATGTTACATGTAATGTATATAGAGGCCAATTTATGTCATGGGTATGTCAAGGGAACCCAGCACAAAATGCACCAGCATTCATTTACATGCTAAACAACAGCTTTTTATAAATTAAAAAAAAAAATTCAGACTGCTAATTTTAAAAATCAGGCATAGTAGCATTTATGTCACACAGTGTTAGAACAGGGGTCCACAAACACTTAAAGAGCTAGGGCAAAAGAAACAGCAGTACACTGATCTTCCTGGTGAAAGGCTGTGCAGGGAAGGGGGGGGGGAGTGTCAGGACAAGTCTGATCATTGAAGGAGAGCAGGCTGAGTTCCCAGCACAGCTAGATAACTGACCATTGTGTGTTCTCCTGCTTAATATAGTGGTGGCCCATCATTAGTGTCAGTGTGTGAGGAATAGTGCCCCATTATTGGTATCAGTGGTAGGAATAGTACTCCATCATTAGTGTCAGTGGGATGAATTGTGCCCCATCATTGGTGTCAGTGGGAGGAATCGTGCCTCATCATTGGTGTCAGTGGGAGGAATCGTGCCCCATCATTGGTGTCAGTGGGAGGAATTGTGCCCCAACATTGGTGTCTGGGGGAGGAATAGTGCCCCATCATTGGTATCAGTGGGAGGAAGTGCCCCATCATTAGTGTCAGTGGGAGGAATCGCACCCCATCATTGGTGTCAGGAGGAGGGATAGTGCCCCATCATTGGTATCAGTGGGAGGAAGTGCCCCATCATTAGTGTCAGTGGGAGGAATCGTGCCCCATCATTGGTGTCAGGGGAGGAATAGTGCCCCATCATTGATATCAGTTGGAGGAAGTGCCCCATCATTAGTGTCAGTAGGAGGAATAGTGCCCCATCATTGGTGTCAGTGGGAGGAATAGTGCCCCATCTTTGGTGTCAGTGGGAGGAATAGTGCCCCATCATTGGTATCAGGGGGAGGAATAGTGCCCCATCATTGGTATCAGTGGGAGGAATAGTGTCCCATCATTGGTGTCAGTGGGAGGAATAGTGCCCCATCATTGGTGTCAGTGGGAGGAATAGTGTCCCATCATTGGTGTCAGTGGGAGTAATAGTGCCCCATCATTGGTGTCAGTGGGTGGAAAAGTGCCCCTTCATTGGTGTCAGTGACACCAATGATGGGGCACTATTCCTCCCACACTTACACTAATGATGGGGCATTATTACTCCCACTGAAAAGTGCCGCCCTAGGCAAATGCCTTGTTTGCCTTGTGGCAAATATGCCCCTGATCAGAGCCCCCCTTAAATCAAGTTCCCCTTTACATTCCAGAGTCTACAGAGATCTCCCTTACAGTGTAAGTGGAAATTCCGCGGACTATGATGTAGGGGGGCTCTGAGGACTCTGATGTAGGTGGTGCTGCGGACTCTAATGTAGAGGGGCTCTGCAGACTCTGATGGTGGGGGATTCTGCAGACTCTGATGGTGGGGGGCTCTGCAGACCCTGATGGTGGGGGATTCTGTGGAGTCTGATGTAGGGGGGCTCTGTGGACTCTGATGGTGGGTGGCTCAGTGGACGCTAATGTAGGGGGGCTCTGTAGACTCTGATGGTTGGAGGCTCTGCAGACTCTGGTGGTGGGAGGCTCTGCAGAATCTGATGGTGGGGAGCACTGCAGACTCTGATGGTGGGGAGCACTACGGACTCTGATGGTGGGGGCCATTGCAGACTCTGATGGTGGGAGACTCTGCAGACTCTGATGGTGAGGGGCTCGTGGATGCTAATGTAGGGGGGCTCTGTAGACTCTGATGGTGGCGGCTCTACAGAATCTGATGGTGGGGGGCTCTGCAGAACCCTGATTAAAGGAAAATTTTGGGATCTTTGATGTAAGTAGGGGCTCTAATTACCAGAGACCCTCTTATATCAGAGTTCTCCTTACACCAGAGTCTGCAGGGTTCCTTCTTACATCAGAGTTCCCTCCTTACATCAGAGTTCTCAGTGTTCCCCCTTAAATTAGAGTCCCCAGAGTTCTCCCTTACATCAGAGTCTGCAGAGTCGCCCCTTCCAGTGTAAGGGAACTCTGCAAGCTCAGATATAAAGGGAATGCTGCAGATTCAGATGTGAAAGGGAAACTCTGAAGATTCAGATGTGAAGGGGAAGCTTTGCAGAATCAGATGTAAAGGGGGAACTACTCTGCGGATTCAGATGTAAAGGGGGAACTCTGTTGACTTTGATGTAAGGGGGGACCCTTATGTATAAATCCATATGGTTAGAAATGTTATTTAATCACAAATTATATGTATAGTGTATACTACAAAAAATTGCCATGAGCCACTATAATGTTTGGGTTTGACTTGAAGAAAAGGCAGCAACCCTACCCAAGTGACAGGAAGGGGGTCCTCTACAGATCATGTGAAACAGTTCTGCTGTGGGACCATAATAAGGAGACTGCGATTGGAATAAAGGTCCCCATGCTCAGAAGGAATGGGGGAGTTCAGGAGGGCCCAGGGGCGGACTGACCCTTTGGAAACTCAGGCACTGCCCAAGGGTCAGTAGGGGCCCCATGAGATGCCCCTGGTACCTTTTTCATAGGCTTTTTTGAGTTTGGGCAAGGACACAGGGGCCCCATGATCCCCTATTGCCCGGGGGCCCCATGAGTTGTCAGTCTGCCCCTGGAAGGGCCCTTCATGGTTTCTTGCTGAAGGTTCTAGTTACACCTCTGGATAGAGATTAATGTTCTTCTACCCTTTTTAATTTTTGGTTCATAATCTAACCTGGCTGCCAGGTGTCTTTGTGATACCAAAACGTACCTGTTATAAGTGTTTTTTAATGACATAGCTATGAGTAGTACACACCTTTTGGTATCAAGTGTAGTTGATAATGTTCACACACCCAGTTCATACCTTTGCTCCTAAAGACGCCAACTACTTTCTAGCGACAATTAGTAGACACACCTTAACTCTTGTTATAAAAGGCATGCCTATCATTATCTCATATGTTTTTATCACAAACCTAGTTGCTGAAATAAAAATCATTCCCATTGACCAATAGTGTTAGCATTCGTAATACCAAAGTACATATGTGGGTAGGGAAACCCAGAGGAATTGCACATCCTATGCATAGCCATAATCAACTACTACTAACTAAATAGAGAGACTGTACTTGTTTGTGGATTGATTAGCCACTAGATGCCATGGGACTTACAAAAACTCATGTAAGGGTGCCATAAACAGAATCATTTCCCTTCAAAAATGTAATAACTCATTTGCATGATAAGTGGTGACAGGTCTAAAAGTAATAACTATTGGAACATTCAAACTATGACAGACTATGCCTGCAGCACCATTCACACTGAGTACTTTTGTGTGCTGACCAGTGTGGTGACAAACTGATGCATGCAGCATTTGGATATATTGAGGTTAATAAAAGGTGATGTCTGATTGGTTGACTGCTTTTGTGTTGTTCTTGGGGAGATGTCTCTACCCATTTACGTCCACCCTTTACCTTTTAATCAAGAACTCTACTAAGCATTTTTCAGATCTGTAACATAATGTGATTTCTAAAAAAAAAAAAAACCTGTTGACTCCCAGTAACTCCTAGCTAATCTGATAATTAGTAGCTTTCCAGGCCTCATCAACTATAACAAATTTGTTTATGGGTTATACAAAGAAGTCTAAAAAGCTCTTCACAAAGAGATTTTAATGCCTGGAAAAATGTGCTGGCCTGGGAGCATGGGCCAGCCAGCCCTCACAAATGTACAGACTTTAAGACTAGGCTCACAATAGTGCAGGTCGTGCTGCCCTTGTTTGCTTGGGCTCGGCAGCTCATTCATTTGGATGGGCTGCTGTGCCCGCGTTTCACTCAAAAAGAAGGTGCGTGCATCTTTCCCAAAACACATCTGCAGGTAAATGCATAGTATTTTTGACCATGCGGTTTCCCTGCAGTTCTCGCACCCATGACCACACTGTAAGCTGAGATGCGTGGGGTTGCCATTCAGAATAAATGGTAGCCCCACGTGTCTCACAAGACAAGCAAAATCTGACTGCGGGTGGTTGCCGGTGTGGGAACAGGTGCCATTCCTGCACCCGCAACCTGTGGGCTAGTGTGAACCAGGGCTAAAGGGTGAAATCTGGATAGGTTGGAGTCTGAATACAGGCCAGCCAGGGTACTTTAAATAAATAAAGGAATCCTGGCTGGCTTTTGGGCTTACTCTGTGGGAAGATTATTCGATGCCTAAAGGAGATTCATTAGTTTCAGCATGTGCCCAAGTCATAATGAAGAGCTACTGCCGGTGGTGGGATCATCTTAATTTGTCTACTGAGGTAGGTATCACCATTGAAGACCACTGAACTGTGATCCTTCAGCTGCTAAATATCAATGAATTGGGAGTCTTCTTTCACTGAATACCAATGATATCCAGGCCCACTGAACTCCAAAGGACTGGGGGCCCTTCACCCTCTACACACCATTGAATTGGGGGGTCCTTCTTCCACTGATTGTCCACTAAGGGCCAAAGAATGGGAAACTCATCTTCTGATGAACAATAACAAATGGGGGATACTACATTGTTCACCAATGTGTCTGGGGAATTTACACTGATCACCAATGTAAAGGGGACATTTACACTGTTCACCATTTTGCTGTGAGAATTGGTAGTCCGAATAGAATCCGCATTTACTTTGTTGGATAAATTTGAGGGGAACCATATATTTGGAAGCTGAAGGTGACTGAATATGAGGGGGCTGGACATGAAGGGAACATTCATTTATTCTACAACAGAATGAATTAGTGTTATTCTTGAAGTTTACAAATTGTTTGTGGATCTTGTGTTACAGTCTTGTAACAAGCAGGATGATATATTGCAGCAAAGTAAAAGGTGACCAGAGTTGGCCAAACTTTCCACCTCTGTTTAGGGATGAGCCAAACATACCTGGGTTTTGGTTCCTGAGGTTTAGCTGTGCATACCAAAACTTCTGATGTCAAATTCAAACCCCATTGAAGTCTGAGAACTGCCCCAGGGACACATACCAATGAAAAAAAAAAAACATTTTTGTAATTTAATTATGCTGAAAGTGTGTCTATAAAAATTCAGTGATCCAAAAAAACTTCCTTGAAGATCCCCTAAACCTGCCCGTCAAGTGACACACCCAGGGGCGGACTGACCATTTGGAAACTCGGGCACTGCCCGAGGGCCCGGGGTTAGTAGGGGGCCCCATGAGATGCCCCTGGTACCTTTTTCATAGGCTTTTTTGAGTTTGGGCAAGGACACAGGGGCCCCATGATCCCCTATTGCCCGGGGGCCCCATGAGTTGTCAGTCCGCCCCTGGCACACCTCTACCATGTTAACACAATAGTATAGCAAAAGTGACATTTATACATTTATAAAGCAAAAAGGCTGTTTAGCCACTTCAAGACCGAACTGTTTTACCCCCTTTCTGTCTAGACCATTTTTTCATATTTCAGCACTGTCACACTTTGTCATGCAACACTGTACCCTAATGAATTTTATAGCTAGAGTTTTTTGTGGTATTCAATCACCACTGGGTTTTATTTATTTATTTGCTATATAAAGAACAGAATATTTTTTAAAACAATGTTTTTTCTTAGTTTGTGTTATAAAATTTTGCAACTAAATAATCTTCCTTCATATATTTTGGCCAAATGTATTCTGCTACATTTCTTTGGTAATAATAACCCAAAGTAGTGTATATTACTTGGTCTTTGTGAAAGTATTTATAGAGTCTACAAACTATGGTATATATACTTGAAA